TGACTAGCGAGCCTCCTACAGCTTCATTAACAAACTTACATTTTACATGAATCATTTCAAACGATCGTCCCAGAGTCTGAAAGGAAACACATAAATCAGCCTCCTGGATTAGAGACTGTAGCGCACTGCACAGGGATCTAGCTTTTTGTCTGAGTCATGTTTCCCAAATCCCAAAATAATTTTCCCAAATAATTAAACTTGCAGCTCGTGCGATTTGAAAACTGTAATCTTTAAAACTGTGATTTTGATATAAAGAATATTTATTGTTCATCCCTCTGAATGTTTCCTGACTTTACAAGATGTTATTAAATATTAAACCTGACAAACCTCTGAAGCAGCGTTCAAAGACTCACGGGACACTAAAGTCTGAAGCTCGTCAGATTGAGCAGCTGGTCAGTCGGACCGTCCTGCTGTTAACAGACTGCAGGAACACAGATTCCCAGCAGATGCGTGTTCACACTCTGCACACAGTCAGTGACGTCGCAACCTGCTGGACAATGCGGCGACACGAACGTGGCATTAAAAAGAAAGTTTCCCTACGGACACTGTTATTGATAAGTCAAATATTCCAGCAGCCTGCTACAGAAACCTTGAGATGGAAGCGGTGTCTGAGTTATTCATACTGTGCACGTGTGTGATTTTATTATTGATGTCTCTGCAGGTCCTAAAGTCTAAAATGACTTCAATTAAAGGCCTTAAATCAGATAAAATCCATGAAAATCTTTTCTTGGTGTTAAACTGGAAAGAAATCTTTTATTTTTCTTCTTGTGACAAAGGTTTTAAATTCTAAACGTCTTTAAAAAGACTTTTCAATATAAGTTTGTACTTTTTTATCCGCTGATTTCTGTCTTACAATCAAGCGAGTCTTACATTTATTATAATTTAAAGTGTTAATGTTGCCTTTAAATGCTTCAATTTGATCTGGAACCAGTCAAATGAGCGTGTACCTTTTATTTTATTCTTTTTTACCGTTTTAAATAACCTACATTCTGCAACGTAGGTGGAGGTTTGCAATCTGTATTTTAACCCCAAAGACCAAGTTTCAGGGACTAAAGACACAATAACCGAATTTCACATAGCAGGACACGTTGCATTTTATCTCTTCTGTTAGGAGACTTTTCAGAGAGGAACACTGTGCACTGTAACAGCACCTCTCTTATGTGTTTCTAATAGTTTTTGGCAGATAAACATAGTACTTGTTAATTTGAGTTTAATTGGTTTTATCCTTCAGGGGAGCCGATGATTAAAAATAATTAAAACAGAGACGAGCCTTTCACTCTGCTGCAGAGACGGATCAGAAAACTGTAGATTTTTCTTTCGAATCAGCAGAAATCCTTCAGAGAAAAATGAAATATTAATTCCCATTAGTCAGTGGATGTAGCAGCTTCCTGTTTAGTCATTATCACACAAAATGTACACAATCATCTACACATCTTTTTACAGCATCAAGGTGTTTGTATAAAAGAAATCCAAACTCCGTAGAGCTCAAACTGACAGTCGCTCTGTTGTAGGCATGAACACTAAACCCGGCGAAACATTTGGCTGCAGAAAACTTCTTCAGACAGTCACTTCGTCAGTCAGGGAGCAGAAATAAATAAAAATAAAAATCAGCCTGTTGTAAATGTGCACCATGTACACTCGCTTAAGGAATATTAAAAACAGTCTGTTTATCTCCTGTTTAAGGCGATTTGGAGTCTTCCTGTCCGAACGGTGAAAAAACAAACTGATCGCAGCCTCAGTGGAATCAAAGTAAATTCTACATTTGAGTGCAGATGGTGCAGAGCCTGGCGGCAGAAACATTCTCTCAAAGTGGTGATTAATAAACTTGAATTACTTAATTAAACCAATTTAAGAGCAGGAATTATCATTTCATTTGCCCTCTTCTTTCTCTTTTGTACATCTTTTTTTAGAACAGACAAAACCCAAATGTCTCGGTCCAAAATTAAAATCAAATCTGAGAGTGTTGAGGGGACAAACTGGATGAAACTGAGACCTTGCTGCTGGTCATCTATATTATAAAAATCCCCCCTCACACCTCCCAGGCTCTGTGAAACTGTGAGTCAGCGTTAAGTTGTTTTTTTGCAGCTGGATATAAAGCTTGTTTCTCTTCAGAGTTTTCGGACTCTACACGGCCTGCTGTTTGTCCTGAGCCGGGCTCGTGTCCTCGGCCTCCTCTCCTCTCTCCTGGTTCCAGTCTCGGAGGCCCTGAGGCAGACTCGTGTCCTCCTCGAAGCTCCCCGTCCCCTCCACAAAGTCCTCGTACGTCGACTTCTCGTCGAACGGCCGTGGGCCCAGCAGCTCCAACATGTCCGCCTTGTCCAGGACCTCCTTCTCCAGGAGACGCTTCCCCACCTGAAGAAGAAGTCAGGGATGAATACTTTACTGCTACTTCATCAGCAAAAGGGAGAGAAGGCGGAAATTTTATTTAACGTTTTTTTTTTTTTATCATTTCTCAGTCTTGGTAGAAAAGTCTTTTTATTACATGAATCTCTTAAGTTAAAAAGACAACGGTCAT